ACTGCTAGACATTCTCCCATCACTGTTCAGTAACAGTTTTAAAGTTCTCAGGGAGGAGGGTAAACATCAATTAACTTTAGTAACCCACAGCAGCCAGGGTCTGCTAAAAATAGAAGAACAAGAAACCATAAAAATTGGGAATATTTGTATTGCAAAGTATTTTGTGGTTCTACTGGGATTGGAAAACATAATTCTCCAACTATGGTAATGAACACTTTTTTACATTAAGACAAGATAGTTCCAGACTGAGCTTCCCTAGGCAGTCTATCAGGTACAATGCAGTATGCCTCAGAGATCTCCAACCACTCATAAAGACAGATGCCAGTAGAACACCACTCCATAACTTTTTCTAATTTAACAGGTTTTGTCCTTTTCAACAACAGAAAGAATTGAACCAGCAGATTTGATAAGCTTTGAAAATGCTTTCTGATCAGGTGCATTGGTTATAAAAGCCTTTACAAATAACAAAATTGGTGAAGAAGCCCAGAGTGAAGCAGAATTCTGGTTTTGCATCTTAGACACAGAACTTCATCAACAATGCTGCTTTCTTTCTAATTATCTCTACTACATATAAAACACCCCTAACAACCTGCCAGGACAGAATCTAATCAGCTGCTTTAAGAGACCGAAATTTGGTGTGATAGCAGTAGGTATGGAAGAGTGAAGGATTTTTTTACAATTTGGTAGCAGTTGACTCAGATAAAACAAACTGAAGTTTCTGACATCATCTGAGATTCTGCTGTCAAGTCCTGGAATGGGGACTAGATCACCAAGGAAGGTCAGAGAAATACTGTAGTTCCCACCCTGGCCACAGGGATGATGTGCTGCTATACTGGCCACTGAAATGATGCCTTGCTCCTCTGACAGCCAGGCACTGATAACCTCTGCTGTTCCCTTAGCTGGTTTCCAGACCTAAAAGAGGAATCACCAGCATGTTCAAACAAGCCAGCCATGCTTTACCAGGATTAGAAAATGCAATAGAGAACCTAAAGGGAGGAAGGTAGAGAGGGGGAAAAAAAAAAAGAAAATTAGGTGAGCACTTAGAAGTGAGACAATTAAAAATGAAATCCAAAGAGGGAACTGAATAGAACAAAATAGGGGAAGAAGAGAAGACGACAAGTGGATGCAAAGTAACAGTGCCAGAAGAAACTACAATAAAACAGATGAAGAAGAACAAAAGGAGCAACAGGAGCTTGGAACAAGGATTTCACAAAGAAGCAGGAAGTAAGGAAGCTTGAAAATGAAAGTAGAGTGAAATGGTCTTGAGGGCTCCAGTTTCCCCATCTATTTTTACTCATTTTCAGTACTTATTTTTGGCTACATGTCTTTTATCTTCCAGGAAAAATGAGCGTTCACTGGTTTCTTTGAATCCTTTCTCCTTACTTCTGAAGGGGAAATTAAAAAATTAAAAATCAGTGTAATTAATAAGTTTTTTTAATACTCACGGGGAACTGACTTTCATGAACGAATGTCCTAAGCCACCTTCCCACATTTCTAATACACTTGTGCAAACTCAGGTTTGCACAAAACATCAGAATTTGTTAGTGTAAATCATAAGTGATAAAGGCAGACTGGACTTTGCATATGCAAAAGATGTAAGGTTCTATTTAGCAAGCATTTACTAGGAAGCTTTGCCCTCAGGTGTTTTTAAACAGGTTCACCCTATATTCTCTCTCTCTGTGGGAAAACCACCTAGAAAAGTATTTTCTGTACGAGTGCTCCACATCCAGTAAATGCATTGCTGTGAGCGTGCACAGGAAATGCTATGGGCTTTCATGTACCTCAAATACTAAGAATAAATCATGAATATCATCAGAAGTCCCTTTAAACACATTTGTCCATTTTTTTGTGGGACATGAACTGTTTTGTCCATTTTTCTTTACCCTGAAACAATTCTGCTCAGTGTTGTGCTGTAGATTGAATTTGATTGCAATACTTAAGCATTTCCAGTGATGATCCTAAAGGAGAGTGCACCAGAAGTTTATCAGTCATTCTGCCTCACAGGGAGTGCGAATGTCAGACTAGAAGCCTTCTCCTCTGGGACATGACAAAGGACGCAGTTATTAGCAAAACACGTTCAGATGACATACCTATAGAAAAGAAAGCACTGAACAGACAATTACACATTGGACTTACATCAAACGTGGCAAGCTCTCACAATAGGCTTCTGTTAGACACAGAAGTGCTGCTTGCTTTCTCCTCGATCTACCTCTACAGCTCTCAGTGGAGCATCTTGTATTACATCCGTGCCACGAGCAGCCCCATCATACCTGCCCACAGCCCCAGTGGAATACAGTCTTCTTGTCAGCCGTACAATTACAGCCCTTCCTGGACTTGATTTAATGTCCAGGATGCTAGGATGCTAAAAAATTCCTTGCCTCCTCATTTTCCTCTTCCCTCCCTCCCTCTTCCCTCCCTCCCTCTTCCACTACCCCTTCCCCCCAGGAAGGGCAGCCAACCATCGATGCCAGAGGAAAACAAGCAACTCTCCTACCAGGCTTGGTAAAAACAGAAAGAATGCCCTGAGACACATCAGAATCAGAAGGAAAAGAGATAGATGTGAGGTCAATGAGGAGAATAATTATTTCACTGGAACATTCTGATGTTGATGAGAAGCTGGAATTTCCATTCTAGCAAGGAGCCAGGAACAATTTCTACTGTAGGTGCCAAAACTGAATGATCTTATACACCTGGCAAGGTTAGAAGCCATATAAGCTCTATCCAAAAATACTGAAATCTGTGAAAATAGTGCATTTCTTGGGTTCTTAGGCATCCCAAAATATCAATGAATAGAGCCTAAACAGGTGAGAAAAAGGGAAACATTAAAAAAAAAAAAGGGAAAAAATTGAAAGCCAGAATATTTTATTCTGTGACAATTTAACATTTCAAAAAGTAATTGTTTTAACTTCTGGTTTGAAATGAGAAGTACAATGAAAAAACATTGTTTATTCTCCTCCAAAATTTCAAGCTATTTTTTTTTCTGATGAAATTTGTATTCATGGTATTAGTACCTATGATATGGGAGCTTCCCATGAATTTCTATTTTTACTGAAATTTTTCTATTCAGTTCTAATCATCTACATTCTCTCCTTACATAAACATGACACAGCTTGCCTTAATTTAGCTTTTGGTGGCACAGACTGTATTTTGGATTCCTAGGGAGCTGCGTAGCACTGAAATTGAGTCCCTAAGCCCACCAGTGTTTCTGAATGCAGGTATAACAACAAAATTTGTATGCAGTATCACAAAGAAAAAAGATGGATGGTAGAGTTTCTAAGGTGCCAACCCAAAAGAAAAGTTCTCTCTAAGAAACTGCAGGAGAAAAAAGGAAAAAAAGAAGGGAAGAAAAAAAAAAAAAGTTGGTATCCACAACCACCTAAGTGTTATTCAGAAAACCCATAATCTCCATCTTGAGCACACGATTCTGGTGACCCTGTGGCTCTCACATTGTTGGCCTAGTTGAAAGGAATCAATGACAAACAGGACTGAGTTATACACATCAGAGATTTAACCTTCTATAATGGTCCCTAAATGAGGCACATTAACTGTAATGCATTGTGTGAAGCACACAAGCCAACAGGCTCTGCACATGTGATAAAATTCTCTAATTCTTCAATTTAATGTTCACAAGGAGCTTTCCCAGTTCAGTACTTTTTCAGCAGAGGAAAAAGAAAAATCTGACATTCTTCCTATACTCTATTGAATAAATACGTTGAGGAAGTACTCAATCCTTTTGCCAGATTACACAATACACAGCAGGGTATGAGAGGGTTCCTTCAACAAAGGAAGGAGAGGAAAGGTTTAAGCTGACTTTTACACTTTATTAGTGCATTGTATAATACTTGAATCCTTCTCAGCACCAAAACCTTATTTTTAAATTATATTTTAACTCACTTAGCTATATCTGCAGCTATTATTTCTCAGAGGTCTAAAACTGTTTCTTCCTCTTCTCGTAAAGTTCACTTTATTAATTTCTGTCTATATTTCTCCAGGTTGTTGCATATTTCTTCTGAGTACTCCACAGCATTAGCAATGCTTGCTGTTGTTTGAAAAGTTAACACATCTTTTGCCTCCCTCAGTTCATTTATGAAGATATTAAACAAACAAATGGTATCCAACACTGACCTTGCAGAACCCCATTAGATTTTTTTGTTAAAACTAGATGCAATGCTGTTAATATCACTACTCACCGAGAACAATCTGTCATTCCCCAAGCTGAGCTTTTCTTATTACACGCAGAGTACTGTGGTTTGATTTTTTGTGGGGTTTAGTTCAGGGGGAGCGGGGCGGGCAAGAGGGAAGGTTACTGTACTTTTCAAAGTATTCAACAGAACTGCAAAATCATTAAAAAAAGCACTGGACAACAGTTAACTAAGTCACTAATTGTCTGATAGAGAAGCTGAAATATATTAAAAAGTCAGGACACTGACATACTAAATGAGATACAGCTCAAAAACAGATAACAGGACCTACATTTGTTATCAGCCTAATAGCTGGTTTTGAACAAGTGACATTTCTAAAAGGTGCATCAAAAAAACCCACTTTCTGTATTCTTAACAATTTGGAAACATCATTCAAAATTAGTATGAATAAAAAAGGAGAGAATAAGGTCAATGCTGCAGTATGCTCAAGAAAAGCATAACGTTTCTGCTTTTTGCACTTACATTACTCAGCACCTGTAATTAAAGATGATCTTTGTCTGCTACAGCAACCAAAATTGTTTTCCATCAGCTGCAAGGTTATCAGAATACACACTGCCCCTGTTTCCAATCTTCTCCATACACAGTAGGTGCAAAAGCAATTTCATTAAAAATTCTTTTTTGAAGGCTTATGTATTGAAAACTCAAAATCAAGAACAGAAGAGACATTTAATAAATATAATGAAAGCATTTGCAATTGAAAAAGTAAAGACACAGGAAATAATTTCAAGCATCTAAGGACATCACGAAGTACCAGCAACTTTAAAACAATAACAGAGAGAAACAGGAAAACACCATTACCTTGAATTCTTTTTCAATGTTGGCCAACTTGGCAAGTTCATTGCTGAGTTCTAGAGCAGTAAGTACTGGATCTTCACTGGAGAGGGACAGATAAGCCGGACTAGCCAGTCCTTTGTATGCATTTATTCTTGACCTAGAGTGACTGAAAGAATCATGCTTTTGCTTCTCTGTACAGTCATTACATTTACAGAAATAATCATGAGGTCTTTCTATCCTTGCTCCTTTCATCAACAGCATGTGCACAACTTCGTATTTTTGGCAGTGGGCAGCTAAAATTATGGGAGTGATATCTGGAGAAAAGCGGGTACCATCTTCATCATAGGAATAAAAATCATCATCCTGGAGCTCCTGCTCACAAGGGCTCAGAGTCAGTCGCTTGTTTACTGAAAACCCAGGATGATTCAAAATTGCTTCCACTATCCTAATGTAGCCCTTGCTGATTGCAAGCAGCAGGGCATCTCCAATCCGTGCCAAGTTCTCTTTTTTTAACAGAAGTTCTGTCACTTCCAAATGTTCATTCCCTACAGCAAGCTGCAAGGCGTTTTGGCCCATGTAGTCAACACAGTTGACATTCAGTGTTTTTGACTCCTCCAGCATTTTGCGCACCACAGGTATGTTCCCATACTCTGCTGCATCTAGAAAGCGCTCTTCTTCAGCCGTAAGACTGGTGCCCCTGTTGTTGAACATGAATGCTGGGCCCCTAATGGCCTGTCGCCTTCCCTTTTCCCTCATCATAGTCATACGTCTCAAAGATGGACTTTCTTCAATGTACCTAATGAGAAAACAAAAAGGTAACAGAATTTCACTATGTTGGTTATTTGCAGTTTCCACTTCTCCTGTGGCCACAAAAATAATGACTTTTGTCACTTGTCATTTGCCCATCTATTGACAAGAAGTATTCTTTATCGTGATCTTTCTGCCTTCATGCTTGCTTGCTTGCCTGCAGTCTAAAGGCACTTACAGGTTCAATGCCACAGGCCATTTCTGTTTTGTTAGCACGGTCAAGATTTTTTTTTTTTTTTTTTACTTTATGTAAGACATCACTTTTCTTCAGAAATCCCTCCCAATTCACTTCAATACATATATAAACCGAAAACACATCTACTATACTACTTGCAGTAGTAATTAATGCTGTCTACCATAGGCATTCAAGCTGATGGTTTAAGGAAGGCAATATTTATGCTTACTGTATTGTAGTTCACATAAATGAGAGGTGAAAACAAGTTTTCTTCCTGATGTCTTGCCAAGCAATACGCAGTGAACCCTGATCTCATGCCTTCTAGCATTACTACCAGAAACATTAACCAAATCTGGAAGATACTACCCACAAATCAAAAACAGTTCATGCATGTTCATCAGACTTTCTAGATGCTAGTAACTAAACTGCTCACAGATTCCAGACATGGGGCATGATCCAGTATAGACTGGGACCAGCTCTCCAGCTGGACTTTGGCAATACCGTGGGTTCTGTTGGGCCCATTTCTGTTATACATCTATCATTCCAGGAGCTGAAAGGAAGAAGCTATCTAATATTAGTCATTACATGAGTGTATATATTTTTTTAAAAGCCCTCACGCATTCTTGTAATACAATCAAGAAAAATGGGAAAGTCAAAGAGCTTCTGAATGAAAATGAAAATTGGGATGGCAGGCTGCACTGGAAAGAGGAAACCTGGGTCTAGGGAAGTGAGATTGTTTAGGAAAGAGGAGGCTGTGAAATCCCCTCAAAAACTGGATGCAAAAGCAGAAAGAGGGAGAAAAGATAAGGGGAACAGGAGAAAAGAAAGCATGAGCAAGCTAAGTCAGAAAACACAGAAATTGGAATTATAAACCAGTGAAGATACTGGCCAAGAGCAGTAGGGAACAAACAGGAATGGGCTGAGAGAACAGACAGATCAGATGCTGAGCTGGATTGAGCTAGGTAAGGAAACTAGAGAGGAGGTTCAGAAAAGCGAGACTAGGAGTTGCAAAGAAAATGGACCTAAGACAAGACATTGAGGAGCAGACACTACCTAGCTGGAGAAAACAACAGCAGGAAACAACTGCCTGGCAAGGTCTGAAACAACAGAATAAAAATGGGATCAGGCTAAAGTGGTCACAGCTGGGGGAAGAACAGAAGCACTTGTGCCTGCCAGACCAGAGGCCAAAGGCCTGAAAAGGTACTTGGGATACCATAACCTTCCTGCACTACCATCTGCAAATAAATGTGAAACCCATCAGCTGTCTCCATTTCTTCTCTAGTCCAGGTCAATACTGAGAAAGACAGCCTCCAGCTGCTATCAGTTAATCCATTAGCTCAAGGGATAGAGATCACCTGAGCTGATTTGATGGGCAGAGACACCAGTGCAGCTGATAAACAATATATGAGTTAATGGAGGGTGTGCTCTGAATACATATAACACTACATATATATGCTACATAGAGACAAACAGGCCTTATAAATTTCAAATGTGGTCCTTAAGTCCTATGTGCCTCTGTTCCTCATCTACAGAAAAAGAACAGTTGGCTCCCATTTTACAGGAGCATTGTGAAAATTAATTTATTCACTTCAGCAAAAACTCAGATACAAGAGTAAAATGCCAGAAAGAAATACTGAAGATTAAATTAATCCTTCTACCCTCACTACAAAAGCCAGGTGATGTGCATTAGGAGAGATGTGGGTCCATGTAACGAATGCGGAGGGCAAAACAAAATATTAAACACCCCTTTTTAAGCAAACCCCGTCAGTCTGTGAAAGGACAGAACCAAGGGAAAAACACCACACGCACCTTTGATGCGCACAAAGACTATGCATTTACGTGTACATAGTGGAACCTGCACGGGCAGCTTCAAAATCTGCGTATCCTAATTGCTGCAGCTTCAAATCCACAACCAGAGTGACAGCCTGTTAAATGCAGGTGGGTTTTTTGGTGTGTGTGTGTGAGATCTTTCAACAATGAGCTGAGCTATATTACCACTGCACAAAATATGCCTGTTGACATGACTGGATTTCTCCATATGCAGCAATGTCAGCCCTAATGGTTTTCATTGGGCATAACTAATTCCATTCAGGTTATAAGACTATGTCTGGCCTTCCAGCTATCTGCAGCAGTTGTAATAAATTCAGCAAAACATAAAATCTTAATCGCTTTATCACAGCTACAAATATCATAAAAGCTAGTCCATGCTCCAAACATTTCAGTTAACACAAATGGGCAGTTCCACTGCAGACCAAGTGAAGAGATTATAATACTCATTACCCAGGGTAGGTCTCTCCTGGGATGAAGCATTTGATCTTTTTACATTTTCATCTGTGGTTGGTATTTCTGGACTACCAGAAATGACCTGGGTGGCACTGCAGTATAAGCAATGCTAACTGGTATTTACTTTTTGAAATACGTGCCAAAACTGCTTTGCCAAACGTGACAGGATCCATTTTTTCCCCCACTTCTGTACCACCTTCTTTAAGTCTATGAAAAAGGCTGCATACCAGAGAGGATTTGTGACTCTGTTAAACACAGAATTGATTTAAAAGTCTTAAAGCTCAGGCATCTTTCACATTTGCGAGTACTCAGATATAAAGATTTGAGCCTAGAGTGCATGTGGTGAACAGCCACAGTATGCTACTACCTTATTCTCCAACAAAGTCAGAAGTAAAACCAGAAATACTGTCTTTTCACAGTTACCTTTTAAACAAGATCTTATTGTCTGGTAAGCTGTTACGTTTCTATTCTTCCTCCACATCTAAAAACATACAGCTACAGAAATGTAGTTGTTTACTGTAATGTTCTGAGGAAAAAAAAAAAGTATGGGTATTAAAAAAGTAAAAAAGACATAGAACAAATTGACTCATGCTGACTCCTTGATTTAAGACGACTCTAAACTGCCATCCTGAATCTCATTTATCTTTTATGAAATACATAACAATACATTTTCCCCTATATATTCAGTTTAATTTTTTGGATTATTTTGAAATATGACACTTATTTTCTGTTTTATCTATCTATCTTTCAAAACTCACTGTCTGACAGAGGTGACTCATCTGACTTCTGTAAAAAGAGATATATCCTTGCAAAGGTGTTGCATTAGAATATCTTCCCAATAAGGATGATATCCTTAGCTACAAATCTTGTGACAGAAATTAGGTATTTGAAGTGACTGCAGTATCTTCTCAAAATAAAGATGAAAGTTGCTTGGTATTTTAATGACTAAAATATTGTCAAGACCTCCCAAAAAATTAAAAAGCAAAAAAATCTTGTACAGCACCACACAGCCAAAAGACCACCAGGTTCATCCATACCTCTCTCCTCTCTTCTTCCCCTCTTCCCTTACCAAATTCAAAGACCTTGAAGCCAGTGCAGCTCTGGTCAGAGTACTGCATGCAAGAAGCATCAGGTACAAGGTCTCCTATTCCATTTTCTACTCTCCTGTTCTTATATCTAAGGTTTTTAAGTTATCCCAAAGCATGAAGAAAACGGTTACAATTTTAGTTTTAACTACTTAACTATTTTCAGCACATTTTATACGTAATATTTGCCAACTGAAAATCAAAACAACAAAATCTCAAGTCACATCTCCAAATGTCATTAGACTGGCTTAAAAATTATTAAAATAGAACTAAGTGTGCATTAATTATTTGTGTTCTATTTCCTAAAGCCTTTAAAGTTCATATTCTCAACCTTGTCTCCATAAAGAGCTGAAAACTTGCATTAAAAGAGGGAAGGAGAAATGGAAATCATGATACTTCTCTTCCCAACCACTTCCAATAGTTGAAAGAACACAAAAAAATAAAAAAACTGTGGAATGCATGGCAAAAAATCCACAAGAACACCAAGCAAGAAAAACGCCCAATTATTTTATGTTAATTCTTCAGCAGAGATAGACCACAACATTAAGTAAGTTCTAGTCCTAGTACAAGGGTTGCATAATTACACTACGTGGTACATGGCAGGAAGGTGCGATGACAGAATTCAGTCCTCTCTTGCCGACATGGATCAGCAGCTGAGCCCCTCCATTTTTTCCAGAACTATTTTTCACATTTCACAGCAGACAAATGGTCAAGGGGTCTACAAAGCCTCAAGCCTCTGAAATCTGGACACATTTCACTTGGCCCTAAGCATGCACCAGTTAGGCAGCTGTTTCGAGGAATCAAAAAGCTTCACTGGCAAGAAGGAAGAATTTCAGAAACTGTGCAACCACCTTCAGAATCATTCATTCATCAGTATAAAACAAGGATGGTCTCAAGTTATGAGTTTTATTTCCTAACTATACTGCTACCATTAGCCATTTTCCAGCTTAAGTCTAGTTCATTGCTTCCTACTTCAGCAAACTCTCAGTAACTTCAGCAATAGCTGTAAATGAACATAACTCACTACAATGAACAATTAACCAAGACGTGACAAGACCTTAAGTCAGCCCCTTGTTGAATAATATGAAAGCAGGACACCTCCATTTCAGCTTTGCAGCAGAACCCTCACATTAGTGAGGCCACGGCTCCTAAATGAGTATACCACCTTTCAAGACCTTTACCTAATGATAAGTATCAGAAGCTTTCAGATACAGCAATGTTATGTACACTCTGAACAACTAACCGGTTCGTTACATACCAGGTAATGCCATAAGACACAAAGACCTGTCCTACATTGTAACATATTTCTGTTTACCTTAAATATTTTCATGTAAAATGTATGACCTTCATATGTGCAATAAAAAATATTTTTAAAAAATTCCCACTAAACAAGCAATGGCCACTTGTCTCTTATGTTTTGCATGCCTCAAATTTACTATGATCTTATATCGCATCATATTGTTACCTGGACAAGGTTACTCCTACGTACAAGGCTAGAAATTTGAGCAGCACAACAACTGCAAAGGACTGCATGATGATTCCTCTGCTTCTACCACGGACTGTTTCAATTACAGATTTCTACTGTTAGCCTACCTATCCCCTTTCATGGTCAAACTTCCAGAATTGTAGCAGAAGGACAGAAATGTGGGGCAAACAGTTGACCTGAGAATTCCTGGTGTTCTCCTGTTCATTACCTCATCAACAGACATTAAAAAGATTTATAATCTTGTTTCTAAGTCTCTTTTTTAACACTGCAAACTGCATAAGCAATTTTAAAAGAAAAACAGAGAAGCTGGAGACACAGAGGTTTTGTTCTGGGCCTTCCCAGATCCATAAAGCAATTTTCTAACATTTGTACTGAAGAACAGGCTGTTATTCTCCTTGAACTATTAAATGCAATAAAAGATGGCCTCAACAATTTACAAGCAGTTTACCCCTGCTAAACTGCAGTACAACATTAGTGATCTTGATTCCATTCTAGCCCTGAAAAGGAAATGCAGTCCAGTGATTATAGACAGATCAGATGAGTACATCACGGAAACAGCGACGCACACGCACATTTAAAAGCAACAACACTGGAGTCGGCCGCACGCAAGATGCGGATTGTGCCTCTTGTTCTGCCAAAAGTAACCTCTGAGGTCCCAGTTTTAAAATTAAAGAATAATAATTGCCTTACAAAAGTAAGTGCTCAGACATGCACATACATATGAGCAGCATTTTAGCTCATGACTCCTGAGACCTCTTAAACTAAGCATTCTCCAATGTTTGCTTTGTTACCATCACAGGAAAAGACTGTGCCGTTCCATGTGAGGTAGCAGCTCCTGGCTCTGTGCAGGGCCACAGGCAGTGTTAGAGGGGCAATCCCCCCAGCCTCACTCCCTCTCCCAAATGAAGGCTTTGCCATCCCTCCAAGCTCTGCTACAGCTATGGGCCAGAAGAAGCTGCTGGTAAATTTGTTTCTTCACCAGTAAAAATAGTGTCACATTAATGTATGTTTGCACAGAAGCTTGCGCATGTTCCACACAATTTGGGAATCCCTGCACTAAATCTAAAAATCTATTAAATGAGAGCTTCCTTCTCCCTTCTGTGAACTACTGCCTGGGCTTTCCAGAAGAGGGAGGCTAATTCAGCTGAACAGCAGAACATAAATCAGGCCAGCTGCAAGCTCTGACTCAGGTCTATACTCTCCCACTGGTCTGAAATGACACAATCCATCATCCAAAATGCCCTCATGTCAGCTCACAGAAGTTCTGGCTCCAAACTGGAAAGCATTAGTCAAAAAAATGGAGCAAATCACAATGAGATATCAGGAGGAGGTGTACGCACACTTAGTTTGTTCCTTCTGCTCCCACCCCACAAACTATGCAGAGCTTTTTCCTACCAGTACTCTTCACTAACTCCTCACAGAAAACATCAACCATCTGAATTCCTGTGGGAAAAAAACAGGACTATATTTTGATGACTGGAGCGCATCTATACACACACAGAAAAAGGCAAACATCTCACCGGGACAGAACCAAGTTAACAGGGCTGCAGCAACAAAGAATTTTAAAGCTTCTTTTACAGTCAGTCCTTTATTTGTGTTCTGTCATTCCACTCCGGAAACTAAGCTACGATTTTCAGAGAAACTCAGGAAATCAGGCATCCAATGCCTGCACATTTAATTTACAGGTTTTGTCCACATTTTTCCCACTGGGACATATAGTACCCTGTGAAACAAGTATTACATCCAGTCTGCAACCTTAGTGAGAATCTGAGGTTAATTACTTTTTCCAGCAATATTTGACACAGGAGGGAGCCAGCTGTACATTGACAGGCACCTTGCACAGGTTACAGCTTTCAGAGCAAAGACATTTCAAATACCAACTAAGTGCATCTTCTTGTGCAAACTACTTCACATCTTCCTGCCTCTTTCCCCCTTGCACTGTTTGTCAGTACTGAATATTTAGACCACAAATTCTTGCAGTCAAGGACTCTCATACTCACTTTGTGCACTCTTAAAGCCTTATGTGCGTCAGTCCGAGCGCATTGTGAGCAAACTGATACTCATATTTATTTCATTAACATACGTTATGATTTTAGGCATTAGCAGCAAACACAAAATGTTACTCTAGAAGAAGAATCCCACTGCTATGCCAAGGATGACCATGGGCACATAACAGGGGAAATGGTAGTTGTGGGTTTTTCCTCGATGCCCTGTCAGTTCAATACACTCCTATTACATTGACTAACGTCAGCCCTTTTGTCAGTCCACTGGACAGTGGCTTGCAATCACTGCTGTCATAGACTCCCAAGACAGGATCACAAGAATTATATACCAGGAAGCTATTCCAACAGTCGGAGCTCACTCCAGGCTCAAGTGCCTACAGCTGTGCAAACGGAACTCCCATTATTAATCCCTGGTGGCATAATACCCATTTCTTAAAGAAAGAAATATGCCAATAGTTCTAGGAGAACACTAACCTAAAAGGGATCCAGAAGTTTAGGACTCATAGCTTACAATTCATCTGAGCTAGCTTCAACTGTCTAAAAATAAAGCATCCGAGTCTGAACTAATCCTCTAGGCTCTTTTTATGGTGAATGGAGAAACACAAGGCACCTCAAGAAAGAAGATAAATGATTACACTGCCTTGCCCACTGCTATTTCCTCTCTCATCCCATCAACTACAGAGGGAGCCTAGACAAACAACTTAAGCGCAACTAACTTCCAGACAGCTAAAGACGTATGAAAGACTCCCTCACTTGAAGTCTGAGTTGCTTGGTACAGGGTACTTGTGAAGAATTTCTGCACTGGGATGGTAAAAAACATTTTTATTTGTGGTTATCCCATTCTAAGCACTACTCTAATAATTTCTGTACTTTACAGTTGTCTCTAGGGTGATTTTAATTAAGGCTTCTTCTATAAATGCTGAATATGTTATAACTCAAACTAAAGTGTTTGTCATCTGTTAATTAAAATATTCAATTAAGAACTAAATATTGTCCTGAACATACAAAGTACTCAAGTAATCCTCAGAAGTAAGTCTATCTAAACTACAGTGTTATAAAAATAAGTGAATAAGTCACAGACAACCTATATTTTGTAAGTCAGAGAAAAGAAAGTTAACAGCCCTATTACTAAAACTGAATTTCTCTTACAGTAAGACTAGCCATCGTCAGTATTTATACATATATATATATATATGATCGGATCTTGAAAACCAACAAACTGAAATTTCTGAAGACAACATCAAACAGGGTAAGATGCATCTCAAGAATGGAGGCTTTTCTGCACAGGTGTCCTAGATTTCTGTGGGGAGTCTGGTTTTATCACAGCCTAGATTTTAAAAAAACATAAAAGGGCTGCATTAGCACTCCTAGTACAAAAGGGTGGATTGGGTTCTCCAAACCTTAGCTGAGCCAATAATTAGGTGAAAAAAAAAAAAACCAAACAAGGAAAGAAGAAAGAAAGAGATGAAATCTCTTATGCCCCGGCACACCTGCATGCCTTCTGCTACGTGCTGCCCCCGCCTCACTCTGAAGGAGCAAAGCCGAGGGGTTGGGGAGGAGAAAGAGCCGGGGAGGGGGGGGGCCGAGGGCAGGTAGCGACCGGACCATCCCCTCAAGACACTTTCTCCGAAGTCTCCGCACCTCAACCGCCGCAAACTCGGCCCCGTCTCCCGCTCGCTGCCACCGGTCACACCCGTTTGCTGCCAGGCCGGGCGGGCTGCGCTCCCGCCGCGGGGCCCGGGTCGGCGGGACGGAACGGGGCGACCGGCAGCCGGCGGTTCTCCCCGGGACCGAAACGCCACAACTTGCCGGGGACAGGCTGCTCGGGGAAAGTTACCGGCCGGCACCCTCTTCGCCCCCCCACACAGCTCCCCGGGCCCGACTTACATGGTGCTGGCAAAAGGGGGGGGCGGGTAGTAGCCGTAGGGCTCCCGGAGGGTTTTAACGGCTCTCTGAGGTGGCGGAGGGGGCTCCGGTCCCCCATTGACGCCTCTCCAGCCGCGGCGCCGGCGCTGCTGCTCCTCTTCCTCTGCCCCCTCCTCCTCCTCCTCCTCCTCCTGCTGCGGGGGGAAGGTCACTCTCCCCTGTTCCTTGCTCTTCCTGCTCTTGCTCGACATGGTCAGGGTCCCCTCAGGCGGCGGTGACGGCGGAGGCGGCTGCTCCCGCTCCCGGCCGGCCGCGTGTGACGGGGAAGGCGGCAGGAGGAGGTGGAGGAGGAGGAAAGCCCTGCCCGGCGGGGGACAGAGCACCTGGAGAGGACAAATCCCTCACCATAAAACCACCGCCGCCCCTCCGCCCTCTCCTCCTGCCGCCCGTCAGGAAGGCGGCGCGATGCGCAGCCCGGCAGCCGAGAAGTGCCGGGGAGGCGAGCAAGAGACAGGGCTCCCGGCAGCAGCAGCAGCAGCGGCGGCGGCTCTGCCCCTCTCCTCTCCCTGTCATCATCCCTCGCTAGGACAGCATCGTTACTGAGGCGGAGGGGGCGAGCCGCGGAGGAGAGGAGCAGCCGCCTACCGCAGCGGCCGCTCCGGAGAGGAGGAGACGCCTCTCCCCTCACACACACCCCTACCCCGCCCGCCCCCTTCC